GCTCGTTCACTCGACGTTTCAAAATTTTAAATAAAACAATAATAATAGTAAGAAAACCACTGACATTTAAACGTCAAAAATATTTCTGACAAAGATTGCAAAGCCTACTAAGATTTTTTCATTAAAAATTCATTCCAACTTTTGATCGACAACCGCGTTGTTTAACGGGCAGTGTTTGCTTTATTATTTTTTTTCTCAAAAATTAATCGTTTTTGGAAAAATTTTAGAGAGACAAAAAAGTTTTAGGATACTTTCATGTACCTATGTAAAATTTTTCTAATGTATTTATCATCTGCATAAAAAAAATTTTAGCAAAAATGTAAAGGGGGTGGTTACGTTTAGTAGTTTAGAAGGGTAGGTTGAAAGTTCAAATAAGGTCAAAACGTGCCTTATTATGAGTTAAACATATTCCCCAAATTTCATTTTCCTAGCGTTTATAGTTTTTGAGGAAAAAAAATTAAACCAAAATTTTCCGCCATTTTTGGAGGGGTGTAGCTCCTTAGGGGAGCCGAAGTCACCCATGGTTCATATATTAAAGTACCCTTAAAATTGCCTAAAGAATCACCCCCTGAAGTTTGGGCATGTCATTCAGATACACCCTGTATATAAAACTGATCTTAAATTATGTCTACAACCGAAAGAGTTCATAGATGTATTAATGATTGGTATCTTCAGATTGAGGAGAAGAATAATATTGTTTTGCCTGTAGAGTAGGTCTACGAAGGCAAAGTTGCCATAGATGATANCTATTAAATGATGTTGTCAAAGTTATAGCTCATCGTCTAAGTTTCTGAGATAGCAGGAACTTTATGTTTCTCAATGGCAGTTACGCCCCCTAGCAGTCGAATTACGAACTTCAAAATAATTTTCAGCTATTTCTCTTGATCACTTTGCTTATACGGATTTTTTTCCCAAACCTCTAGGCCTTAACGTTCTAGAGATACAGCCGCTCCGTACGCTTAACGGGACACCCTGTATAAAACTGATCTTAAATTATGTGTACATCCGAAGGAGTTCATAGATGTATTAATGATTGGTATCTTCAGATTGAGGAGAAGAATAATATTGTTTTGCCTGTAGAGTAGGTCTACGAAGGCAAAGTTGCCATAAATGATAAGATGTAGAATGCGGCAACGGTGATTCATTCCATCTTCTACACATATACAGAAGGAGAGACAAACAAAGGTTCAAAGAAAGTTTGCAACTCAATACCGGAGGTATTGGGACATTACCTCCGCAAGGTATAATTGTCCATGTCTTCAGAGATGCTTACGCTGGACAAAAAGAAATCATATTCTAATGAGGTTCTTCTTGAAAATATTTTCACCAAAGTTCAAACGTCGTATTCGCAGACTCGATCACATCTATAGCCAGAAGAATATGACCATATAATGTGCAACTCGAAATTACGTGAGTCTTGTTTCCAAGTGAAGTAGCTACAAACTCAGCAAAACTGGTGGATTTAGTATTTTCAAAAAAAAATGTTAACACAGTGAAAAGAAAAACTGGAACTCAATCATTAGTAAGCAGCACGAGTTAATAATATGTTAAATTATGTGTACAAGTCAAGGAGTTCATAGATGTATTAATAATTAAAACATGCTTAGAGTGCTCTAAGCACCAAAAACAAATAAAAATAAATACTTTCATCATTTAAACAGATAAGAATTTATTTTTCTATTGTTTCAATTTAAATTTTATGATGAACACGGAGAAAACCATAGCATATTTATTAATGATTAGTATCTTCAGATTGAGGAAGAAGAATAATATTGCTTTGCTTATAGAGAAAGTCTACGAAGGCAAAGTTGCCATAAATGATAAGATGTTACAGAATGCGGCAACACTCGTTCATTGCATACCAGAAGAATATAGACCATTTTACGAAAACTCTATGAGAATTGATATCAATGATATCTTATTCGAATCGGTTGTTCAATTATGGATCATTTAAGAATTGAAATTGATGCTTTGAATTTGTAAAAAGATAGATTTAAAAGCAAAATTTTTCTTACCTTTTTTTCCGTTATTAACGCACTGAAGAGTATTTTTCTTGACGATTCTTTTATCTTGTTGGTGGTTTGTTGAGGAATCTCGATGAATGTGATCCAGCAAAACGCTTGGGGAACAGCCCATACCACTCTAAAGATAATAAATATCTTTAGTACATCTGAAATTAATCAATAAAAATTTTTTAATAAATTAAAATGATTTAAAGGCTAATTTTGACCAAAATTTATCTGAATTAGTTGAAGTCAGGATCATTTTTTTTTCAGTTCGAGCATTAACTTTTAAATATTTTAAAACTTTTCGAGAATCCAGAAAAAAATGTAAACAAACTAAGGTAGGAGCATTATTTTTAAACGTTTTAGTGGGAAATCTCTCCCGCTACGTTCACATTTCCTCTAATTGTAAAAATAAACACTTCACAAATAGTTTCAAACTAACAAAAAATGTAAAGGTGAGTAGATCCTGCAAGGATTTACCTCTTTTTATCAAAATCCATTTGAATATGAAAAAATATAAAAATATGCTCATCGGAATTCTTTACCTCGAACATCATTAAATTAATCCCCCGGGATGTAACAAAAAATAAACAGGTATGTAACATAAAAAAGTTGGGGGAGGGTTGAATATGAGATTAAATCCAGATGATGTACTCAAGGGGTTTAACTTTTGGTAATAAAAAAAAACATAAATAATAAAATTTTTAATGTAATATGTAAATTAGAAATTGTTTATAATTCACTAAACGATTTTATCAGTAGTCGGAAGATGTCACTTACGACCATTCAAAACTTAGAAGGTAACACCAAGCATATAATGAGCCTTTATAATGCAAGTTTTAACGCCATACAAGGTGACGTGAAAGCAATTCACACGTAGTAGATCGTCCTCTAGTGCAAACACAACGATTAAATTCATCGTACGAGCAACAAAAATAAACTATAAAACAAGACTATTAATAATTTTTACATGCAACAAGTGGATCTTGAAAGACGAATTTTTTAAATAAAAACTTTAATAATAACATTAAAACAACAATTACTAGATATATCCCTTTACCTTTTTTTACAATTTTTGATTTTGTTAATTTTGAAATTCCTCAAGACTTTCGCGCCAAAAATTAATTGTTGTTAAGTTCGCGCGAACACCGCGTGAGCGCGCGAACAGGATAACGTTCAAATTATCCTTGCATTTACGCGTGGAACCGACCAACTAAAACCTAAAACGCCAGGAGACCCGTTCAGAGACCCTGGGACAGATTGAATTTACGCGCGACTGCGCAACAAACCAAAAACAGATTTTAAAAGAATCCTGTATATATCGAGAACTCTAAAAAGCGTTTACAGAAACCTGTAAAAAATTATACAGATCAACGTAAATGTCAAAATAACAAACAATGCAATAACATTGTAAATAATTGTGGGTCAAAAATTAATTATCTCTGGCCTCGTTTGAAGAAGAAGATGATCTATGAACGTAAACAAATAGTTTATAATCGATTTTTAATAATTGTACGATTCCACGTTGATGTTATTTATTGAAGTTTTTGGTAGTCTTTAGGTTATGTGAAGTATTAATGTAGAAGAAAGAAAAGAATGGATAGAAATTATAAATATATGCAAGTAAGAAACTTAGACTATAATAATACTATAAAAATAGGTAACTCTTAACAGATGTGGCGACTTCTAAGATGTTATAGGTTATGTGGGTATCTACAATAACAATTATTTCACAACCTTCCATCCTAATCGATCATATTTATTTATTTTTTGTAGGCTATTTCTATAGGGGCTCTTACAAACGGACAATTTATTAAAAAATACCTTTTTTATATGAAAAATTTGGAACAATCTAAAGGCTAAAGGACTTGCCACAGCTGTTAGAGATGCATTAAATAATTTAATAAGGAATAAGTAAGCTCCCATTAAACATACCAAAGAAATTTTCACGTAAATTAAAATTTTAGTTTACTTTTGTTAAGGCAATTGTAATTTTGAGTCAAAGCTGCATAAATTTACTTCGGCATTCAATCTGATTAACTTAAAAGTAAAGTAATTTTTGATTGAACTGCAGGTAAACATAGAAAAAGCAAAATACTTAAACTTGACAGCAAAGGAATGAGGACGAAATAGACATGACATTGTTATTAAGGATGCAACCTTTGAAAATGTCTGAGTCACATTTTTCCATTAACAACTTGAAATTACAAATTCTTCCAATTTTGATATTTTCGAATATTTCTCTACATTGATGCATCTGAGAGGAAAAGTGTTAGAGAATAATCTGTAAAGGGTAAAATTTGCTATAACCTTTGTTCTAAAAGTTTTTCTGTATCATGCTTGAAATACCACTTTTTCCATTAACCAATTGTGAAACTACGAATTCGTCTAATTTTCATATGTTCGAATTTTTCTCGACATTGATGCAGCTGAGGGCAAAACTGTTAGAGAGTAATATGTAAAGGGTAAAATTTGCTACAACCTTTGTTCTAAAAGTTTTTCTGTATCATGCTCGGAATACCGCTTTTTCCATTAGCAACTTGTGAAAATACGAATTCTTCCAATTTTCATATTTTCAAATATGTCCCTATATTGATGCATCTGAGAGCAAAAGTGTTCGAGATGTGTAAAGGATAAAATTTGCTACAACCTCAGTTCTAAAAGTTTTTCTGTATCATGCTTGGAATACCACTTTTTCCATTGACAAATTGTAAAACTATGAATTCTTCCAATTTTCATATTTTCAAATATTTCTCTATATTGATGCATCTGAGAGCAAAAGTGTTCGAGATGTGTAAAGGATAAAATTTGCTACAACCTTAGTTCTAAAAGTGTTTCTGTATAATACTTGGAATACCGCTTTTTCCATTGACCAATTGTGAAACTACGAATTCTTCCAATTTTCATATTTTCGAATATTTCTCTATATTGATGCATCTGAGAGCAAAAGTGTTCGAGATGTGTAAAGGATAAAATTTGCTACAACCTTAGTTCTAAAAGTTTTTCTGTATCATGCTTGGAATACCACTTTTTCCATTAACCAATTGTGAAACTACGAATTCTTCCAATTTTCATATTTTCAAATATTTCTCTACATTGATACATCTGAGAGGAAAAGTGTTAGAGATCAATGTGTAAAGGGTAAAATTTGCTACAACCTTTGTTCTAAAAGTTTTTCTGTATCGTGCTTGGAATACCACTTTTTCCATTAACCAATTGTGAAACTACGAATTCTTCCAATTTTCATATTTTCAAATATTTCTCTATTTTGATGCATCTGAGAGGAAAAGTGTTAGAGATCAATGTGTAAAGGGTAAAATTTGCTACAACCTTTGTTCTAAAAGATTTTCTGTATCATGCTTGGAATACCACTTTTTCCATTATCCAATTGTGAAACTACGAATTCTTCCAATTTTCTTATTTTCGAATATTTCTCTACATTGATGCATCTGAGAGGAAAAGTGTTAGAGAGCAATGTGTAAAGAGTAAAATTTGCTACAACTTTTGTTCTAAAAGCTTTTCTGTATCATGCTTGGAATACCGTTTTTTCCATTAATCAATTGTGAAACTACTAATTCTTCCAATTTTCATATTTTGAAATATTTCTCTACATCAGTGGTGTCCATAACGTCGATGGTGTCGAAGTCGTTTTGAGTCGATCGCCAACAAAATCTGGAATCTGAAATATCTATATCTGGGACTCAACGCAAAAAAAGAAAGGAAGGTTACTTTTCAAATATAAAAAAAAGATTTTAAACCGTTCGGTCGATCTTGGCAAGACATTTATATAAAAATTGATCTTCATAAAAAATTAGTGGACACCACTGCACTATATTGATGCATCTAAGAGCAAAAGTGCTAGAGAGCACACATTCTTGCAGACATTGAAAAAAGTGTCTGGGAGCCAAAATGAACACCACAAACCGAAATAGAAAGGAGAATACTTGCTGCCAACACACCCTACTACACTAACAAAAAGTTGATCAAGTCTAAAATCATCTCCACAACAACCAAAATCAGAATATACAAAACTCTGATTAGGCGGGATGCCATATATGGATCAAAAACATGGAGCTTGGCAGTTAGAGATACAAAGAAACTTCTTGTTTTTGAAAGAAAAATATTCAGACGAATATTCTGACCAATATGTGGCGACGGGAATGGCGAATACGAACGCACATAAAGACCCAACGTCTCAAGTGGATTGGACATGTTATGAGAATGGAAAATCACCAGCTACCAAGAAGAATGTTTAAGTCTAACATGACAGGAAGACGATACCAAGGTCGACCTCAAAATACAAGCTACAAGTGTGAACTGGAGATGGATCTTCGAAGTATGGAGTTGCGAAACTAGAAAGGCAGAACTGCATATCGATATGGATGGCGCGAAGTCGTGAAGCAGGCTAGAGTTCATCCCGAGCTGTAACGCCGAATAAAGAAGGAAGAATTTTCACTAAACTTGTTGAAATTACAACATATATTTTCGCTTGAAATGCCCTACCTGTCGCCAAATAGACTGTGTGTCAATAGATTATGTGTGCATAGGGTGGGTTTGGAGCAGTGGGGCGAGGATGAAAAAAGCATTAACATGCAGATCTACATTCTTTGCCGATATATTTAAGAATTTTGTATCAAAATAAGATTTTTAGTTACATTAATGAACATTTAAAGAAGTACAAAATGTCCTAACATAATGTAGGGCTGGGTTCGCAGTAGGAGGTGGGTTGATATGTCGGGTTAAAAAAAAAACGTTAACATTCCGATCCACCTAATTTACTGATTTAGTATTTTTACTAGAAACTTTCGGGTTTTGGCGTCCGTCTTTTAAGAAAATGTTTGACGTTTCGGACGCCATGTTGCAACCTTCTTCAGAAACTGCTTCGGCCGTGAAAACCTGCGTACTTATATTACTGATTTATTTCAAAATTTTATGTAAAAATTACATTTTGAGTTTAATTAACATTTAAACTAGTGCGAATTCGCTAAATGTGGGGTTGGGTTCGGAGCAGGAGGTGGGTTGTGAATTCCGGGATTCAGATCCACACAAGTAAGTAGATGGTAAATAAAGACGTTTCTGTCATTGTGGGTGTTTGTATCAATTGACACACAGTCTATTGACTGCTTCTTACAAGGAAAGCTAATGCCAAAAACTCTAACTGCTATAATTTTTTGTTTTCGCCTTATTTAAAAAAAAAGCGAGATGTTGGGAAAACGATAAACGCGAATATCTCGCTTATTACCAAAGATGAAGTATTCTAATTAAAACATTATATGGGCAACTTTCTGCCAATAATACACCAATACAGTGGCATAGCGAGAAAAATATTATCATGTTTTATTTTAGATTTACGGTTATTGAATAATTAACGCATAATAATTGCTTTTAATACTTTTTAAACCTATTGTATTTATATTTTAAAAGTTACCTCATGTGTTAATGGTTATAAAATGTGGAATTTAAAACCGATTTTAATTATAGTCTCAATTTTATTAATAAAAATTATTTTGTTAATTAGATTTCACCATCGATTCCATCAGGATTAGATGTAACATCATCCGGAATATGGGTTTCCTGGACGAAAATGTCTGATAAAGAAATAATGCGTGAAACAGCAATGAAAGGCGTTACATTCGATTTGGCATCACAATTCTTATCGAAACGTAATAATTGGATATTAATCGATTCGATAAGATGGTTGGAAACGCAGATAACCGCCTGGGCTTTGGATTTAATAAATCGTGGCCAAATTCATAAAGCGATGCATATCTATCAAATTAACAATAGAAATGGTTTTGATGAGATACGAAAAGTTTTAATGGAAACCAAAGACGACTCGTTAAGAGGTAAATTAAAAGAAGTTTTGATAAAAAATCAAAAATGGAACGATGAAGATGAAAGATGTTGGATGTTGTTTGGTTGTGTGAAAAATGAAAATGACGAATTCAGTTTTGGAGATGTTTTTAATAAAAGCGAAAATTGGAAAATTGAGAATGGTACGAAAATGTTTTTTAAAACATTTGATATTGGTTTGGAAAGTTTTGTTGATGAGAAAATAGCTTGGAATGTTTTATTAAAAGAAAATTTAAAATTGATTAAGTGTTGGATTAACATCCAATTTGGGAACGACTTTAATTGCGATAACATTGAAAAATTAAAACCCATTTTCATAAAAATGAAAATAACACAAGAAATGATCGATTCAGTTTTAAATTTTGACGTTTCTGAAATCGTTTTGGACGAACTGTGTAAATTTGGCGTTTTTGAAACGAGTGAAACAAACGATTTGGAAAAATTTATTAAGAGAATCATTAAAAATTTTAATAATTTGAAAAATTTCCTTCAAAACCCCGCGTTTCTTAATGATTTCACGAAATTATTTATTGATTATTCCCTTAAAAATAAGTTAATACCCGTTTTGAATTATTCTTTAACATTAATTAAACCGGAAATAATCGAATTAAACCCTTTTTATGATTACTTAAAATGTATTTTAACCGCGAATGATTTAATAAGATTTCAAACCCCAGAAAATTACTCAAAAAATCTTATTGAGACATCCCAATTTTTATCTCAAAATGATTTATTGTTTCGTTATTTTGATAACAATCCAATTATTTTATTAGCGATCTTAATGTTTCAGAAGATCTCAATTCATGATTTATACTTAGAAAAATCAATAAAAACTATTTGTGGGGTAAATCCTTTAGAAATTTTAGATACTTTTGATATTTTAATCATTGAACATGATAAACTAAAAGGTGCTTTAATTTCAAAACCGCTAAAATATTTAGATTTAATAGAAAAGCATACAAACATTAAAACACAATATTTATATAAACATCGACTTATAAAAAACGAGAATTTCCCTAATTTCGAAAACGAAAATTTATTAAAAAGTGGTTATCAAAAAGAAATTGGGGTGATTTTCTTTGTAAAACAACTAAGACCATGTTACGCTTATAAAAAATTTATTCAAAATAAAACCCAAAATTACATATTAACTTGTGACAAAATCGAACGTTTAGCAATAAAAAACATTTTAAACGCGGAACTTGTAGTTAGTTGCATAAATTTTATCGAAATTCTAAACGGAAAATCATTTGCTTTAAGAATTTATCTAAACACAGCTGAAATTATAAATAAATCAAAATTAATCGATCAAAAAGAAATTAATCGTTTATTTAACGACGTCGATATGAATAGCGACGAAATTTTTAATATTTTACAATCAGCTTTGTTTAAAACATTAAAAACTAAAAATAACGAAAATTTAACCACAATCTTAACCAGATTTGATATTTTAATCAAATTCGCCAATTTACACACTATACGCCCCCCAAATGTTCTCATCAAATATTTCGCCGAACAAAATCAATGGTTAGAATTCTTAATATTTATTGAAATATACAATTATCCGCTGGAAATCGTTTTAAAATCACTTGAAAACTTCAAAAATCCTTCGATTCAAGAACATTTCGAGCATTGCTTTAAAAATGACGTACAAAAACATGACGAAGGTATCGAAAGAGAACGCAAAGAAAGGAACCCAAAAAAATATTTTTTCTCTACAAAAAGCGGATTAACGACATCCAGCGAGAAATATGCTACTTCCGATTTGAGTTCTTTATCCAGTTATGGAAGTATGACCTCAAATTCCATTGAAAGTGATATTTTGGAAAGTGAAACTTTAAGTTTTAAAACGGAACTTTTAATGGTTTTTATTAAATGCCATAATAGCGTTGATCCTCCAAAAGCGTTTCAATTTGCTTGTAGATATTATAGAAGACCTTTATTGGCTGTTTTTGCGATGTGTTATGAGGTAAGTGATATGATGCTTTATTAACTTTAGAGCTTTGTACCAAATCCGTCATGTTTTTTTACTTAGAAACTATTATTTTCTTTTTACAATTGCCATAATTGCGGTAAAGTGTGGGATGAGTGCTAGTGTTATTAATTAAACTGTTGGTCATGGGGTGAGTTTCAATATTATAAGAAAATGACAATAAAATGTTATTTGAAATTAGTCGACGATTAGTATTTGTGATGTAACTTTTGGATGTAGGTAAACTCCAAATACACGTCCAATTACCACAATTAGAAGATGTCAAATACATATTTGGACAAAACATATTTTCTCCAAATGCAAGCAGGTAGACAAAGCTAAATAAAATGTACTGGATCATTGGCCGTTGTTCCTGATTACCTTTAAATAACAAAATATTGTGATATAAAGCTATCCTGAAACCAGTGTGGAAGTATGGTATTCAGCTATGGGGTACTGCCAGTGCTTTAATATTGCTATCCTCCAGCATTTTTAAGACAAAGTTCTGCGTTCTGTCTTACTATGTCTCTAATGAGACCATTCAACGTGACATCCATCTGACATCCATTGCAAACCGTAGAAGTACCGATCCATCAGTTCAACTTACAATACAGTGGACGAGTGGTTGTATACCCTAATATTCTCGAAGAGCGAAAACTAAAAATTCTTCTGCCGTCCGATCTAGTTCTAGGGGAAAATAAATTTAGACACTAAATTTGTATAACATCTATAATGGTTAATTTAAAAGAGACTACTTAGTGGAGTGTAAGTCTACATGACTTGCAAAGTTGTCATACCAAACGCTTATTACGCTTGCAGATTGCAGAATCCCTTTGTCTGATATCAATGTTATTGATTGCTTCAGCTTCCTCGTTTGTGGTTCTTTTTTCTCTTTATTGTAGTAGATTCTCTTCATCCTGACGTTTATAGCATCTTCTAAATTCTGGTTCGTTTCTAATTTCCAAACATCCAATCGAAACCAACCTTGCCTATAAATATGAAGTTTATTTTATTAATTGTTACTTACTTACTATTAAATTGTTAGTTACTTCTGGCTTGTTTCTAAACTTGTTCCGGCTTTTCTCTTTCTACTCATAAGATATTTTCCTAATTTCTCGCTCTTTCCATGTTACCGACATCTTCACTTCTTTGCATTTCTACTTTATTTCGGGCTTTTTGGCTAAATGTCCTAAACGTGGAAACGGTAGCTACCACGAAGTGTTAAGTTTATCTTTAAGTAAATAAAAACATATAAACCGCAACTCTGTAGAGAGTTAATGGAAGTGATAGTTGGAACGTGGATAAGGTTATTGCATTGGAGTTCTATTTCAATGAATTGGGGGATATGGGGAAGAGGAGTGGATGCTAAGAGATTGAAACCTCTTAGCCTACTAATGTAACTGTTCGCATTCTCTGGGTGCAATAGATGGTAAACTTGGTTTACTTTAGGCACCCATAAATAGTGACGGTGGTTATTTTAATTATAAGCAAAACTTCAGTATTGTTTTGTTGGGAATCTTTGATGCAGATTATTGCTTCCTATTTGCCGATGTTGGTTGTAAAAGTAGAATTTTAGATGGACGAGCATTAAAGCAACCTATGTTTTGAAAGAAACTACGAAACAAACAGCTTAATTTGCTCTTTGAAGAACCAATAACTGGCAGATATATGAATGTACCATATAATGTCTTCATAAACATTTAATAAAAGCTTATCCAGTAGAACAGCAAAAAGTAACAAAAAAAACAATCTGTGCGATAATGTAGGGCACACATCGGTAATTAAAGTCTTGTCAGAAAAAAATACTTTTGATATAATGTTCGCTGTTTTTAGACTTTTACGAAAGCCAATGTTGTTGGCACAAAAAATAGCTACTAAGTTAGTTTTAGCTTGTATGTGTTTGTACAATTTCTCGAAATGTTTATAAGTCACATGGAAGTTTTGAAGAAGATTATGAAGGATGCAACGCAATTTTTTCTACGAGTAGAAAAGATAGGCAGAAAGCGCTTATCACATTGTGAGGAAATCGCAAATGAGTTTGCCGACTACTTTTCAGGCTAGGAAAAGGTATATTGATAAATGCACCTTGCTTAGGTTGCTTGGTAAATGGGCAAGATGAATGAGATAAATATCCTTTTGTCACTTGTAACTAACAAAAATAAAACTTACCTTAGTGTGTACTATTTTCTTATTGTCCATTAAAAACATCATGTTTTACCCAGTAAGGCATTATCCTGTTTTTGAAGTTTTGGATAAACTAAAATCTCTGCATAAACTAAAATCACACTCAAATGCAGAACGTATATCCTTGGCACCAATATTTTTGCCATCTACAGGGTGTCCCGCGACGATTGTACAATACTGCATCAGCGTATTCTCTGATCGAAAACAGACAAGAAAAGTCTAATAAACATAGGTCCGAAAATGGACCAATTTCGAGATATTCAAAGTTTTAGTTTCATAAGCTGACCTATTGTAAACATCATTAATTCTAACGATTTAAATGCAGTAATTATATGATTACCATGGTTACGATGGTTAAGATAAAGTTTAATAAATAATAAGATAATATTAAGTTTATTAATACAGTTCATTAATAATTTAACAAAACAAGTAACAAAGATTGTCGAAGAAAATCGTTCAACCAGCATAAAAACAACGAATATTTAACAAATTGGAAAAGATTCATGTCATAATAAATGTTCAATATGCGCACCATTTACTTCTAAACACAAACGGATACGTTTTCTAAATGAACTTCTAATGCGTTCAAAGATACCAGGAATTTGTTTTACTGTGTCAAATGCGTTACTAATTTTATTCTTCAAATCCTGCACATTTTGAACGTCTTCAGAATAAACAATTTGTTTTAAATGTCCCCAAAACCAAAAATCTAACGGATTTAAATCTGGTGAACGAGGTGGCCCTCCTCGGCCAATCCACTTATTGCCAAATCTGTTATTTAAGTATGCTCGAGTAGCGCGTGCATAATCGTGCATAAAGTAGCAATCTTCTAGAATTTGTTGAGGTAATTCATCAAATGCCTCTGTAAGGTCATTTTGTAAAAAATGTATGTAGGCATCGGCTGTCAATCTCTTTGGAAGAAAAAATGGACCTAATAACTGATCACCTATAACTCCAGCCCATACATTAACACTGAATCGCCACTGATGATGAGTTTCTAGTATTGCATGGGGATTTTCATCGCTCCAAACGTGCGCATTATGAATATTAAAAATTCCGCTTTGAGTAAATGTTGCTTCATCCGTAAATACAATGTTTATGGGAAAGTCGACGTTTACTACCTCTTCCTGTATGGCCCACCTACAAAAAATCTCTCTTTTTTCGCCATCATTTTCTGTTAGAGCTTGAACGGTGTTGTAATGATAAGGATAAAGCAACTGCTCCCTTAAAATGCGGTGAACGGTTGTTTTGTTAATGTTTTCTTGTGCAGAAATTCTTCTAATGCTGGTTGAGGCATTTTCATCGACTCTTCTCAAAACTGCTTCTTCTAATTCCACCGGCCTTGTGTAATGTCTCTCCGTGGAATGGCTGTGGGTTACGCTTCCCGTTTCTTTTAATCTGAGAAATAGTCTGCTAAAGGTGTGACTATTAGGCAATCGTCTGTTCGGGAACCTTTGCGCGTAATGACGAGCTGCTAACGACGCATTTCCATCAGCTAGTCCGTAACAATACACCATATCCGCCATCTCTTCCTTGGAGTAATTAATAGGAGCCATACTTAATAGTTTTATTAAATTAAATAGTAAAATAATAATTTCGTGAAGTATTATTATTTTTTTTTGATTAGACAACTTATCGTAATCATAGTAACGACTTAATTATTATAAAAACAAATTTAAATTCATGATGTTAACAATATCAACTTATGAAACTAAATCTTTGAATATCTCGAAAATGGTCCATTTTCGGACCTATGTTTATTAGGCTTTTTTGTTTATTTTTGATCATAGAATACGCTGATGCAGTTTTGTACAATCGTTGCGGGACAGCCTGTATACTAAGCATTCGTAAGCTTATGGGATCGCTCTCGTGCAAGAGAAACAAACATAAAAAAATAATTTTGATTAATATTAGTAATCTGATTGACCATATGAAGAGGTAATCGTAATAAATCATGTTTTAAACTAGAACTGACACCAACCCAATCCACATTGCATACTCTATAATCCTGACTAGGAGTTGGAATAGGACTATTATTCGACATTATAATTTCACATGGAAGTATGATCTGAAAAGTTTACTGAAATACTTCCCTGGTTAATATAACTGTCAAAGTTGTTGGTAATTAAATGATCAATCAAAGAGTTCAAAATGGTGGTGAAGGATTGGTCACTCGCTCGTCTTCAAGCGATGTTTCCGGGCAAACTTGAGTCTTTACGGGGTGACCTTGCGTGGCTTACGCGTTTGGGTGATCTATCCCCCTGCTATTTTTTTCTTTGGGGATACCTTAAAGCTTAAGTTTTTAAATATCGCCCATAAAATTTGGATAAAGGCAGCCATAAAAGACGAAATTGCTGCAATCCCGCAAGAAATGATTTACATGACCGTAATGGCCGCCATTTAACTAATGTTCTTAATTTTTTTTCAAAATGGCATAAAATGTAGTTTCTAAAATTAAAACAAGTTTTTCTTTGCTTTGCGTGATATGGTACCAATTATTTTGTTGCACCCTGTATAATTTTCTCATCCTCCCTCCCTTTCCAGATATCTTGAACCACAACGAATTTAATTCCAAAAGCAAAACTTCTCTAATTTCACAAATTTTGTTAATAACAAGATTAACAGTCTTTTTATAGGAGTCACGAAGAACGGTAGAATCTAATAATAAGATCTGTATCTTTTAAGACGAAAAGACCCCGTTTCACTAAAGAGATTGTACAGATTCCTAAATAACTTATGATTAGGTTGCCTTCAATTTCGATATAACTCCAAATATCTTCGGGCTGCAGCTAAAACATTAGAATTGGTTTGAGAGAAATTAGAACAATGCTGACAATTAACAAACAATTGTCGAAACATGAGCGAAAAAATAAGCCAAGTTTGCTTATGTTAAAATATAAAAATTTTAGAAGCTGAAATACATAAATTTCAACACCCTTTATCAATTTCTTCAACACCCTGTACCTCGAAAACCACCGGTATGTGTCTCCGGTATGTGTCTCCGGTATTGGGATTTCCCATTCTTTCTGACTCACTCTGTATATAGATAGAATCAAAAATCTTAGATTTTACCGCCCTTGGGAGTAACATTTAAACCGATTGATTATTATATTCAAAATTGACGCTTTATAATTATTTTTTAATTTTTTTTAGCCTGATTCCATAATAATAAATTGGTTAACATGGTTGGAAGTTTCTTGTAACGTAGATATAACACATTTTAATTCAGAAACAATTATCGAATCGGATTTTGTGTTAAATTCTTTTCGAACTGTTTTAAGTGAAGGCTATTTCAAAACGCTATGGCAAAGTTATTACATTTTTTTGAATGTAAGTACTCAAAAAAGTTATAATTTAATGCTAATTTTTTTTTTAACATACATTTTGTAGGAAAATCCTTTAAGACATTTCTTGGAATTCATCAATGATTGTCTACAATTTAAGTATCAAGAGGATTCATTTGAAAAAACTTTAAAATTATTCTCAAAAAAATTGATAAAAACGCGACGAAATAGTTTTGTGAGTGAAATCGGATCTGATATTCACTTTATAAATAATAAAGTATGGATACAAACGACTGCGATTTATTTAATCGGATTAACTCTTCAATACGGGTTTAAAAATTTATTCGACAAAATCCTTTTTATGAGATTTTTATCGGAAATTGAAATAACGCAATACTTTTCAATACCGATTCCAAACTTTAAAACGATTTTAAAAATTTTGGAATATTTTTTCGACAACAATTACGACTTAAACTTTGATTTGTCCGTTATAAATAATCCGAAAAGATTTAAGAAAGAACTTGAAGATTTTATTTTTGATTTATTGGAGAAAAAGGAATATCGACTCGCTTTGAATTTAGCGGAATTTTCCGATTTTCCAACGGAAAATTTAATTTTTGAACAAGTTCAAGGTGCTTTTCGTGCAAAAAAGGACTATTATTGGCTTGAAATTGAAGAGATTTTTAAGAAAGGATCATATCCTCCATTTAAAGCTGTTAATTATTTTAAAGAAATTTCTGAGGAAGTTGTTGGCTTTGAAAAGTATGCAATTTTAAAAATTGCGTTAAATTGGTGTGAAAACTTTAATTTAATTGAAAAAACATTAATTGAAAAATTAGCTTGGATAAGCTTTTTTAAAATGGAAAATTGTATTGATCATTTATCACTTCCTGCTGATGAAGAAATAATTTTTTATTACAACGAAAATAAACTTAACGACGAAAATACTTTAAATTGGGTTTTCAATGAAATTGAAATGGATAATTTAATGAAAACAATCGAAACGTTATTAGAGTTAGGAGATTTAAATCGAGCTTTAAAAATCGGTTCGATTTTTGGGTTTTCCACTTCAAACTTAGACATTTTAAAATTATCGTTAATGTTAGCTGAAGGAATCGTTTTAGTTGATCATTTAACATTCGAACAACGATTATTATTAATCAAAAAAGGAAGTGGACATTTAAAACGAACCGGATCAAATCTTTTTGAACACCAAAAAATACTCTTCGTCGACGAAACTTTGAGTACTTTAGAGATTTTGGGGGATAATTTAACGAAAGGAACTCAAATTGCGATTAAAATTTTTAAAACTTATCGAATCGGATTATTTTTAAAGAAAAATTACAAAGAAATCGCTTTTTGCAAGGAACCTTTAACTACTTTAAAAGAAGCTTTATCATCCGAAAATGTTAATTATAAATTAGAAGTTATTAATGATTTTATTAATGTGTTTAAAATAACTAAACAAGAGGTAAGTTTCTTTTCTATAATTACTTTTTCTCTACTTGACAGTTTAATGGGTGTTCAAACATAGCGCGGAAAGAGCGTGTTGTTCGCAGGACACTATTCTGCCGCGCGCAAGTTTGAACTTACCTTGAAGAATGTTTGCGCTGCACTTCTATAAGGCATATGGGAGGAACGACGCGTACTTCCTAAAAATATTCGCGAGCGGCAGGCAGAGTGCGGCATGCAGCGCAAAGAAAACTTCCATACGCCGCGCATTGTTTGGACACCCTTATACCACAAAATAACCAGAAATAACACTGACGTCGATTCGTTTGATGTTGGCATCATCTCGTTTTATGAACTCGATTTAAAATCCATCTCCGAATGAGAGAGATAACTTCATTTACCACCAATAGCAACAATATCTTGCTTCCTCGCAATAATATGGCGTCAGATTTGACGGGATACCGCCAGTGTCATTTCTGGTTATTCTGTCCTCATACTTTCCGGCGTCTGGTCTCCGATCCTCTTCCTTAATGTTCCTTTCCCTCTTCTGAATCACATTCTTAATGCTGTCCAGCCACTTTGTTCTGGGTCTCCCCTTTCCCCTCTACCCTTCTCCTCTTGCCTTTGGGCGCCCCTTATCCATACGGATCACGTGCCCGTAACACTATAACTTTCTGTTCTGTATAGTTTTCACTATAGGATCTATCCCTAGTTCTTCTTTTATTGTTGTATTTCTGCCTATATCTTCTGTCCATTATTCGCCTTAAGTACATCGTTTCTACAGCTGTTACTTTGCTTTTTTACTTATCCTGCATTGACCTCGGATTCGCCCCATATATCAATGTTGACACATTTACTGCTTTGTACATCTTTGTTTCTTTACACAGCTATTTTTTATTTATCAATATTGTATTAATCTGGTAATACTTTTTTGTTTCTTATATCACGATCTATTGCCCTATCATTGCTTATCACTACCCTTAGATATTCGTAGTGATTTACTACCTCTAATCTATTCTATCCACATACGATGTTTATGTTTTCTTCCTCGTTGCCGATTTGTTTGCTAATCTTCGTTATTTTACTTTACGTTTATTTCCATTCCTGCACTTTGTACCTTGACATTCTATTTGTTGACTGCGGCCAGCAACTTTCTGATTATGTCTGCCAGTAATACTATATCATCCGTATACACAAGACTTTGGAGGCTTGCTTTTTCCATTCTCCAGTGTACGCGATAGGTTGCTTTTTATTTTAGATTTGTTCTATAACCACAATAAATAGGAGATAGCTAAAGGAGTCTCCCTGTTTGATTTATTTTTCCATATTTTAACTTTTAGACTCCAGCCCTATTCCTATTGTTCTTTTGTATAACTCTCTTGTGACTGTGATCAACTTGTCAGGTATTTGGCGCTTTCCAATAGGTCTTCTTTGGTATACTATCGAACACTGCACTCAGATCTAAGAATATCAGATATATAGGTTGATAATCTATTCTATGCTGCTGCTTTAATTGCATAGAGAGTGTATCTGAATTGCTTGGTCCAACTTCACCATCATGAACATGTGCCAAAAAATGCTTCTTTAAAAAGTTACGCACTAATTCCAAAATTGTGATAAATCAGCACCAATTTTTACTAAAACTACAAGAACAATCGTTTAAAACTTTCACATCGTTTATTTAGGATTTTGCTATGGTTAGATGTTAGAGCAAGTGCTCAAAATGTTCTCCTTCAGCACCAACATAGGTTTGGCATCGTCGAACCATTGGTTGTCGAACTCACCCAAGAATTCCGGGCTACACGAAAACTATGACTGATTTGGCCGTGCAGTTCTTCTAAAGTATGAACCGGTGTTGAGTACACAAGTTGTCTCTGCCAATCCAACGATTCGGAAAAGTATTATTTAAGTACTCCCTAGCAACAAAGCTGAAATGTGGTGGAGCACTTTCATGTTTGAAGAAGGTGTATCATCAAGTAAGGTAGGTAGATGATTATCCAAAAAATTTCTGTAATTTTGCCCATTTAATCTGTCTGGTAAAAACATTGGTCCTATTGAATAATCGCCAACAATGCTAGCCCAGATGTTACAAGAAAATGTGTGTTGGTGTCTTGAATATTTAATCGCGTGAGGATTTTCTGCAACAAATTAATGGTCATTATAAAAATTCAGAATTGCATCTCTAGTAAGTTTTACTTCATCCGTAAAAAGCATAACGGATTGCAAGTTTGGAATGATACATTGCTGTAGAAACCAGTTACAAAATAGTATTCGTCGCTTCACTACGACCATGCACAATTCTCCATACTGTACTATGCGAAGTATCTTCTTCTAAAGATAATTTTCTGGTACTAGTTTTAGAATTCTTCTTCAAATGTCAGTGTTCTGGTGCTCCTTTAACCCCACAATCTGAAGTATTCCGTTTAAAATATATTGATTTCACGAAGACGTTGATGGATTGCAAAAATCCCTTAGCTGGACATCTCCTATTCGGAAAATTTTCGACATACAGCCATCGAGTTAAATTGTTGTTACTATTTGCTCGTCCATACATGAAATGTATAATCTGCCATTTCTTCGTTAGTATCAATTAATCAAGTTTTCAAAATGTAACACTGTTTTTGTATGACAATTAATTGTTAAGAAACAAAAAGGTAATATCTAATTCGACAACAACGAATTTTTGATTAACTCGGATAAATGGTTTTAAAAGCAAGCCAAGATATTGCCTCGCTAAGCCGAGGTTGCTTGCGGCCGAGGCAGTGCTATAACTTCAATATCTACACCAAACTAGTGAATATATATTGTAATCATGAAGAAATAACAACTTTCTAAGGAAACACAAATTTATAGGAACTTATTTTACAGTTTTGTTCCATACATCACGTTGGCGATGTTTGGCCAAGCAATTCAGACACACTTTGTTTCCCATTTTCGTCCCTTCCCATTTTCATTCTTTGTATTGCTTCCTTTACTTCTGCTATGGTTATTGCTTGTTTTTCCTCAATTTTCAGAGGTTCTTGTATTGTATTTCCCCTCTCTGGTCCTATTCTTCCTGCCTTAAATTTATCTTCGTAATACTTGCTCCAGGTATCCGGTATTTTGCTTTCCTCTGACACCATATTTCCGGTCTTTATACATCATGCTGTTTTGCCATATTTTCCTTCTAGATGTTTAACTATCGTCCAAAACTCTTTCTTATTGCTTGTATTGTCTTTAAACTTTCCCTCTATTTTTTTTTTTGCCGAAATCTTCCCATGGTTTATCCTTTGACTTCTCTAAACTACTTCTTTTGCTTTGTTCCTCCTGTTTATGTAGCTATGTCTTTCTGTTTCATCACCTCACTCCGCCATTTTGTTCTTTTAAGCCTAATTCTCATTTTCCCGCATACCTCTGCAGCTGCTTTTAGTATTGTAGTTTTGAGTTTTATCCATCTTTCTTCCATCGTATTCCTCTGGAATTCCTTTTCTAGTGGTTTTAGTTTTCTTACATAGAATTTTGTATCTGCTATGACTAGTTTGTGCTCAGAACCTATTTCCTCTCCTTATATCTAGTATAGTATATTTGGTTTCTGGTTTTGTTATTTTTATTTATTTTTTTAGATTGCTGATTTAATTTGTTCGGAATTAATCGACTCAATAACAACATACTCAAAAAGTGTATTGGACGTTTATTTCCTTTGGGATGTCAACATCCAAATCAATTTTACCCAAATCTTACAATTATTAACAGGAAATTGTACGATTTTGGGTACAAAATTATTTAATATAGCGAATACGATCCATCAAAATGAAAATCAAATTGAAAAATTAATCTCAAACGAAACTCTCACATTAATCACCGAGTTATTAATTAAATCTCACGATTGTTTCACAGCCGATTGTAATATGGAAGGAATTTCAATGGTTTTAAAACAATCACAACCGCTAATTTCAACATTAATCATCGCGAAAAATTGGAATTTAATCATAAGATTATTAGTCGGCATCAAACGCTATTCCGAAATGAATTACATATTTCCTATTTTAAAAGAAAACGGGCAATTTGAATTATTGTTGCGTAAAGGTAGTCGAAAAGATGTCGGTTTAAAAACAGCTTTATTAGAATATTTAAAACGTTATTGTCCTGAGGATGTTGAACTTTATAAAATCGTTGCGTTACATTTCTTTTTATTTTCCGAAATTGCGGATCTTTGGGAAAATGAAAGTCAAATATTAATTAAACGTTTAATACAAATCGCTAAAATCGATATTATTAATAATAAACCAGATAATACTAACCCAGAAAATCTTATTTACTTTTCTAACTGTGAAGATACAAAAAATATTCTTAAAAAAATCATAAAAAATTATCATCACGCCGCTCAATATCATCTGAACGGTTCGAAAGTGTCTAAATCAATGAAAACGGCACAAAAAGCTAAATTGGCTGCTTTACAACTTTCACTATTTAATAATTTACCACAAAACGAATCCTGTATATGTTTATTTAAACTAACAAAAACACAAATCAATAAAATTTTATTAGAAAAGTTTAATTTTTACCAAACGCTAATTTTAATTAACGCTTACGATTATAAAATAGATTGGGCTCCGATTTTATTCGAACAATCTGTCGTAAAATCTTCCCCAGATTATTTAAACCAATATTTATCTACTTTTGAACTTTCCAAAACTTTATTACACGAAATTTCTCGTAAATTTTTATCGTACTCAAACCCCAGCGATAAAATGATTGTTAATATGAAAAATATTTTAAACAAATTTAGTTCCGTTCATACAAAATATAGAATCGCCAGCGAATTAGGTTTTAGCGATATCGTTGAAAGGTTACTCGAAAGCAATCAATTGTGTTATTTAAAAGATACTGTGTGGAAATCTGGATATAGAAATACCGAAAGTTAACATTTTAACATTTATTATTAGTTAAAAATAAGAGATATTTGTGATAATATAAGTAAACATTCTGTGATTGTTATTTTACGGGCTTCTGCTAATCATTTTTATTATGAGTTTGTGTAAATGTAACTATTAAATCATATTTTCAACTCACCTTGTTTAATTTATTGTAAGTAAAATCATTTTCCTTTCATAAATTATTTTAATTTAAATTGGTTTTGATCACTGAGTAACTTGTGAGACTGCCAGTATATCAGATCTGTAGAAACAAATTGAAGTTATATCTTTCTCTTTGTCTAATTTGTGCGAAATTCTTATGTAGTAACAGCAGGTGGCGTTAACATTCGCTGCTTAATTAATCGACAAAATCAATTATAAACAAACATTTAAAATTCATTGTTGTAATATTTGGAATTAGATGAAGGCGCTAAAAGGAATTGTGTTTAACAAATTCTACATATGAGACTTATATTTAAAGATGCGTAGAAAATCCGTCTTGCGGTGAGGATTCTTATGCCTCTATAAATCTGCAAGCCAAACGAGATTAAACTAATTACGAAATACTGGTTACAATATCGCTCTTAAAATCGTGTGGGATCTAGGTATTAGGGATCTCGGAATATCGATACTCAGAACTTTTAGTATCGCCAGGATATAGGGACAAATTTCGGTGTGAAAAAATCCTATTCCAGGTCCAACAAGATCACGTCTCATCATGCCATGTTAAAAGGGTTACAACATCCACAACTTTACAGTATTAGGTTTAAATGCTGGGCATGCACCACGGAAAACAAACAGTCTGTCTGTAACTCCATCTGTACCTTTATTGCAATACTACACTACCCTTATAAGGTTACTACAAAAGATTCATTCGTTTTTAAAACGCATGAATGAAACATCAAAATAACACGAAACTTTCCAAGTTTTTTTTGCACACTCACCATTGTTTTATGTGGGCCCTTTAGGTCACATGACATATATCTAGCCAATGATACAATTCGTTCCACACATTCTCTAGCTTTCCCTGAGTTCTTTTAATGCGTTTGGTAGTGCGTATGATAGTTTTGAATATATTATAGTGTTTTAAAAACGAATTAATCTTTTGTAGTAACCCTGTATAACCCAGCATAATTTGTTCTTAATTATAACTAGCTTTTTTGTTTCTTAAAGGCAAGGTAGAAATCTCCTTTTAGGAAAACGTTAGAAGTGGCATTAGCCAAAACATTAGGATTCGCAACAGCGTTGGAACATTGGAATCAGTTCTTGAATTCCTTCAAGGCACTTAGGCTGCAGTGGGTTCTTTGTACATTCCCACAATTTACAGTTCATTCAGGGATCAGAAAATGAGCCCAAGGTTTTAATGAACGTTAATATAGAACAGAAGGGTAGGTTCTTTATGTCCGAAACTTGGGCCAGGGTTCGCCAAAAATGGATTCCCTGTACGCGAGGTTGGGACAGTCACAAACAATATGACTTACTGTCTCGTCTTCCATTTCATACCCTCTACAAACTGATGTGTTCGCCAGCTTTATGTAGAACATGTGCTTACGTAACCTGCAGCGTCCGGTCAAGAAGTAGGTGAGGAGTGACTTTTTGATTTTCCCTGAACTGAGTAGACTCATCCCATCTATCTATCGCACAAAGCTCTATGGGAGATGGAATTGATCAGCTTTAATGCTGCATTAAAAGTTGAGAGTTAAAACCTGTCCGCATGATCGTGTCCCTTATTTCCGGTATGTGCTTTCCGATACATTATCATGACGTTGTTATAAACAGTAGCCTCCTCAAGTGTTTGCCGACATGATTTCACCAGCGATGATGTAGTTCGATGCCTACTAAGTAGTGCAGATTAGGACGTTTCTGCCAACTTTTTTGAAGTCGATGCATTATCTGCTGTATTATCTAGTTCTTGTTATGTTTCTTCGGAATAAAATTTTAAATAAAGGTGTCTCAGAACTAGGATATGACATGGTATTGATTTCGGTCGTATGCGATCTTGATGATATTAGAATGTTTTCCGAAGAAAATGCCAAATATTCCTAAAACTGCCCCTTTTTGTGGTAGTCATTGCATTGCCTCGGTTGTAAGCAACCTCGATTTTAGTACGTGTGGTTAGCGAAGCTTGCTTTTTTGTGATTTTGTAACTGATACAATCGTACGCCAGGAATACTACTCTCCAGAACGTGGGGAATTTTCCAGTGATCAGAGTGGCTAAGACAGTTCTATCGGCCAGCTCCATAATCCAACTGCAAGTTGTTCCTTAATGCCAAGACGTGTCTTTTTGTAACTTCTAAGTGCTTTCGTCGATAATAGCAGATATTGAATTACTCTATAAGTATAAGGACATTTCTATAACATAATCTATTAACTAATCTATCGTATAATATAAATATGAAATAGAAAAAATGAATAGAAACCAACATAACAGATTATAATATCCAGTTAGGAAACTCAAACCTCTTCAAATGCATATTGAATGATCGATGCCCAATCAAAAGTGGACTTTCTTACTCCCTTAACAAAGCTATATATGCTTTACTCTCTGTCAGATTCTCTCCACATCATCTCTCATTTCCTTGTAACTTCGTTATATGCTTTCCAAAAATGTACATTCAGTTTATCACTATTCACTATTTCATCCGTTCCTTCATATCAAACTCAATTTTGCCGTCTCTCCGTCATTCATTGTTTGCTTAAATTTCCTAAAAACTAATTTATGTCCACATTAGGCTATGAAATTGCTATCGTCTCCGCAGTTGATCCAGTATACTGCCAACGTAATGGCCTGCAACTCTATCTGCCTAACAATGAATGCCCTGCCATCTGCAACATTATTTTCTTACTAGTGCAGCAAACTGACACAGAAAGCTTGTTGTGTACAAAAGACTACTGACTTCCCATACATCTTCTTTCTCATTCACACTCTCTCAATCTCACTTACTTTATATGAAATTTAGAATCACTATTTACTTTTCATTACTTTTTTTATTTCACCACTCACTTCCCACTCTATCCCAGCAAAAACTGCAAATATCTTTAACCTCCTTAGAAACATCATATGGTTCTCAAACAACAAAGCAGAATTTATTTCCACACCATAATACTTGATCGCTCTCACCATTCTTATTACTCTGCCCTGACCACATTTGAAATGTTTTTGTTTTTGTGCTGCTCACTATGCGATCAGCCTTCTTAATGAAAAACGAAAAGCCTTTGAAAGTAGTAGAAAGAAGATTGAGATGACTAAAGGTGTGGTCAAAAATACATCTAAGATATTCACAGTAGTAGAACTGAGTCAGGAAATGATTCTAAACTTTTCCGAACGTTTCAAAGGTTTTATAAAGAACCTTTTAACCTGCTTATGTTCAAATTACAGTAATTTACTACGCCATCTATCGAAATATATTTGTACTTTGTATTGCTGGTAGGTTGGTTGCATCATATGCTCTTTTTTTATATTTTATCTTCATATTATATCATACAGAACATCTTCACATGATTGTCATATTTGGATTAATGTATTTTGAACGACATCGCTATATCATTTATTGTTTAGGAGCTATTATTTGTTGCAAAAATGTATTTTTGTATACTAAAGGAGATGTTTATTAGATTAAACTGATCAAGTAAAATTAGTTGCCTATCTCCAAAGCTAATTGAGGTGTTTGTTCTTTGAAAATTAAATTTTATTTGATTTATTAATAAATATCTATTTTTAAAAGAACCAACTCAACATTTACCTATATTATTTTATTTATAAACTAAAAAATATATATATTGTATATTATAATAAGTTTATAAATTATTTAGAATTTAAAATTTTTTTTTTCTGTATATTTTAAAATTTATTTTATAAATTACTAAGACCCTAAAGAACGTAGTATGTGGAGTTTATATCGCGTGAAAATCGTTACAGAGTGGAGGTCCCACTAATAACGATTCCTCGAAGCGGAATTAATGCTAATGCACCATTGTGAACCGTCGAACGTTCGCGTTTTCGTTCTCTTCGTTCGCATTTGAAGCTTCGTCGCCAGCTCCACCTCCACAACACTAAACGCTGGCCGCCGCCGCCGCCGCCACCGCGCCGCTTTCACCATTCGAACCGTTTCTATTCCGTTCTGTTCTCTCTAAACGACCAATAATAGGTTTATATTTACGATTTTCTGTTACGGATGCGGTGGAATTACAATAATACGATTGTGTATTGAGGCGACCTGGAGTTTGCCACCCTATTTATAAAGCCTCACTCAAGAAAAGATTCCTATTTGATTTTAAGTGTGAATAGGTTTTCTTTTTTTAATCATTAATCACTTTGTAAAGTAGTTAGGGTTAGTTAATAAAAAAAATTAAATGAGTTTTGTTTTAGTTTTTTTTTTAAACAAGACTCATAGGGTTGTCTTATAAACCGGTAAAGGGGGCTCCCATTTTCTCATTCCTCCCGTCTTGTTCCATCTATGTATACACGATAATTACATTCTGTTGGAGGCAGAACAAGATTAACGACGTTGCTCGGTGCTGATATTACGCTTTATCCCCCCCGTAAAAGAAAAAGGATGGTTGTTTAAAGGGTTTACCATTGGTGGAATAAGGACGGAATTGGTCGAATTCTGGGGATCCCGAGGGATGAGAATGAGTGACAAGGACGGGGAACGGGAGTTTTTACTCGCTAAATTCCTCAATTTGGCGAGAAGCGGTTTTCAGGACTGATTGATAGTTCCGCTTGTCAACCGGTGAGCCGATATAAGAGAAATTTCCATTAATTTTCACGCCGCCACTTTAAAGAGAGAAGAGAACCAAAACCGACGGCAGCCAGAGAAGAGAAGGAGAAGTTTGTTTTATTGCAGATAACGTCCGTAAACTCGTGCCAGATAATGGTGGTGTTGGAGTGACAGACGGAGACCTAACGATCTCCAACAACCAGGAGGTTTATTAATGATCTTTGGAACGGAATTAAAATTAAACGTAAACGTTCTAAACAACGTTAAATAAACTCTCAAAATTACACAGCAACGGTCTTCACGAAAACGTAACTTAATGAAAATAATAATGATGAGACATGAAAGTCATGTAAAGATGTGGGATTTTCCGTAGATGATTTTAAAAGGGTTTAATGCAAATCCAAATATATTTCCAATTAACAATGTTGACTTATC